ATAATGTCATTATTAATCAGACTACGGACAAACTTAGGATAATTTATAATAAAAAGTATATCCTCATTGTAAAAAGATACACCAAATCTCAATATATAATTAAAATTAGCAGAAGAAATATAAAACAGAACCAACAAACCTGCATAAATATGAAAAAAAACCCAGCGCGCGAAGCAGCACATCTTCGAGCCACCAGTCTCAAAGGAACGTCAGAACGGTTGGATGAGGAGCTCCTTCTAATTTTTGTGTTTTTTCAAATGTTTTTCGCCCAGTGGGGATTTTATTCCTCGAGAAGGTGAGTTTGGATTAAAGACATTGATCGCGTGTCAGCTATTTTGTCGCTTTATGGGAGAAGAAGATCGAAAGGAGAGAACAGAGGAAGTGGTTTCACGCTGTTTTTTGACAAAGAGATCGTAATGGAATTTGCAGAAAAAAAACTATTAAATAAAAGTTTAATACTAATGGCGGCCATGGTGAGTTATAGGAGGAAGCTGCCTACGATATCAAATTCGTCTCGTGAGCTTGGATTAAGGTAATTCAGAAAAAAAAAATTCCGCTATACTTCAGTCATAAAAAAAACACGAAACGGATATAAAAAGACAAAAATGATGTTAATATGCCGTGCGTTTTTTTAATTACCATATTTTGGGTAATTAACAAGCCTTAGTCTCTAAATATCTTGTTTCTATTATGCTTTAATGTATAGTAGCCTTACGGTAACGAATTATTAAAAACAAATAGACACTAATTGTGGTGAAAGACGAGGTTTAAGTTTATTTTATATGAATAATTTTGAAATAGATACTTTGAGGACCTGGTAACTATTTTATTTTAGTTTTTTTCTGAATAATTGTAGATAATAGATACTTTGAGGACCAGGATAATTGCCGTTTTATTAAGCCAAACTCTGTATAGGCAAATTATAAATGGAAACGAAAGGGCCGAAAAGTTAGTTAGAAGAACAGTTTGTTAAGGATCCGTTTATTAGCATCGTTTTGTATGGGGGATAAATAACCCAATGAAATAGAAAGACAGATGCAATAAATCGAAGAAAGAAGAAAAGAAACGTTGAGTTAAATTCCAGTGCCTAAGAAAGTAAACAAGTTATTTGATCAAAGGATATGGAGCCTGAACTAGAAACTGACCTTCCATTGAACCTTGTAGACTTGCAGTTTATCATCAGATATGCCGGAATATACCACAAAAAATGTAGGAATTGTGGTAACTCTGTGAACCCCCAGTAACCAGGAGGCTTTGTCACTAGCTTGCCCTGTTATTGCTGAGACTTTGTTTCTAATGGTAAGTTGGAAAATGCATTCAGTTATGATCCTGGCTGAAATGGGAGACAAGATCGGCTTACAAGCTAAAGATTATCATATGCCAGAACTAACAAGTAAATTGCATGTACATTTTAACAGGAGAGTGCACAATGACTCCATGGTGCCGGACGGGGGTGATGACCAACTCCGGCGATTCTCCACCCATCAAACTCATGGACGAGGAGAACCCATTCAAGAAGTCACCCCCCCCCCCCCCCCCCCCCCCCCCCCAGTGCGGCTAGTTTTGCTGCCGTCATCACCCCAAAGGTCGCTCTGAGGCCCAAGGGAGGTCACGCTGAGCAGGGTGCGTTATTGCGGTGGATGTATTTTTCGTACACAATTGATTCGAGTTTTGACATGGAAGCCATAATAGGTTAAGGTTGTCTTACTTAGATAGACATCAGTAATTAGTTGATGTGCATTGGAGGTTAAGGGCTTCTGTCATTGATTGCCATATTACTATAGCTATTTATACTGTTCATTGGATTCTTTTAACAAATGATTTGCAATTTTCTCCTCCCAGGTCAGTTTCAAGTTTCTAACAAACTCCAAAAGTGTGACAACCCCATACAGAAGGGTTTCGAACCTTCTGCCAGTGCAAAGTCCTAGGGTTCACAAGTCACGCTAAAGTATGGGATAAACAAAGGAGTAGGGCACAAGATAAAAGAAGCATAAAATGAAAGCAAAAGGAAAAGAACAGGTAATAAAAATTCTCTCGTCTCTCTGTCTCTCGCACACTATCACTATCACTCTTACTGTCTAACTATCTAACTCGCTCTGCTATAACTCCTCACTCCTCGTCTAACTCTCTCACTCTATGCTGTATAACATCTTCACTCTCTCTGTCTAACCGCTCACGCTCTTACCTAACTCTTCACTCATTCGGTCTAAATCTCTCACTCTATCTGTCTAACTCTCTCACTCTCTCTGTCTAACTCCTCTCACTCCCACCTCCTGTCTAACTCCTCACTCTCACGGTATATCTCTCACTCTAACTGTCGAACGCTTTCACTCTCAATACGAACGCTCTCAATCTCACTGTATAACTGTATAACTCTTCTCTCTCTCTCTCTCCCTACTTATCTCTCTATCTATCTTAATATCGCGCTAGGATCTCTATCTGCTCTCTCTCTTCGTCTCCTCTATCTATCTCTCTCCTTATCCTTTGAGGGGTGGAAACTTTTTGTTTAATAACTTAATAAAAAGTCCAAAAGTCTCTCTTGGTTGAACATTTGATCTTTATTTGTTTGATGAGGCAAACGATTTTATTTAGTATATATTGATGCTATAGATAGAATACCCTTCAAATATAGTAAAACTAATGTCCATTTTAATGGTAAGCTTTATAAACCAGGTTGTGAAATTTTACCCATCATAACCTGCAATTGTAACTATGAATGTTTCTTAAATCCCCTCAGAAAAAGAGAGATGTAAAATTGTCGCAAAGAGGTTGAAGGAAGGAAAATTAACACCACGGCTCCCCTCAGACCGCAGTCCAGTGAAAACTCCTACCCCTCTTGAAAAGGTGAGTTATCTTGATGGTGATTACAGAAGTTTTAGTGTACTTTAACCTATGTTTTAATTATTGCTTATTATTTTCTGTCTCACTTTTTTGTTTTTTTAATAATAATAAAAAAAAAAAAAAAAAAAAACAATTGATATGTAAAGGACATCCAATGACAATTAAAGAATGAGAGAGAGAAAGAAGCTGACATTCTCATGGATTAGTGGTCTCTTTTGTTGCTATTGATACAAATGCAAGATATTTTTGATAATTGTAGGTTTCCAGAAAGTATGCAAAACTGCATAGAAGGAAACATTGAAAACAAAAATACCTTAAAAGTTCAGAAGTATATGCATATACTACATAATTATCATGAGGGAGCTGTTGTTTTATGCCCAGATATGTACGGTAATATCTTCCGAGTGGCTGAAAGAAGAATACTAGACAGATTGAATTAATCAGAGATTATATTGCAGTATTAATAGATTTTTATACTTCACTAGAATAAGAGAATTTGGGAATAGTTGGAGAACTCATTACACTTTTTCTGGTCCATAGAAGAAACGTCATGTTGCTCTCATCTCCCAGGCATGTCTTTCCTTGAGGATGAGGTAAGTCAAACGAGAAAAAGTTACTAGTGCATGAAAGTTGGTGATGCAGATGAATATGAATATGAATAATTTATTAAATTAAGAATTAATGTGTCCAAGTAAAAAGGGTCCCTGCTTTTTATAGCTTAACTAGATGCAGAGGTGAGGACAGTTCTTAAGATTTGTGATAAATCTGTAATTTTATTTTAAATATATTCATGTATAGGTAAAAAGGTGGATGTATATAGGTGTATAGATATAAAATGTACTCTCCTGGCAGTTATTTTTAATTTACTTTCACTTGGTTGATATTTCATGATTATAAAAGTATGATCTGAACAAATCCAATATATGGAAATCAGTGTAGATACAGAACTATGAAAAGTAATTTCATTGAATAATAATTTTGGTTGCCTTGAATTTGATAACTCTTCATTCTCAAACCTTTTAGGATGCTGGTTCAGTCTCATGGCGCCAAGTAGCAGCAAGAAGTTCTTTACCAGCCGATCTAGAGCTGCAGCCACAGTGCAAGCTTGGCAAAAACAGTAAGTGAGGATTGTGTAAACTGATTTCACAGGCTTGTCATATCAAGAATTCTTATCTTTCTTTTTATTAAAAGATTTAGACACTTTGTGGACAAATTTCATTACTTGCAGGATAAAATATGTTGATATTTATATTAAGATGTATATAACAAATGCATTATCATCATCAAAATTTTTTAGGCAATTTCATGTTTTGAAAGTTAAAAATTCCTCTTGGTTAATTAGTGTAAATGGTTAACATAATTTGGGATTCAGATTCAGAGGATTCAGAGTATAAATGTTATATCAGTTGATTTATTTCAACAGGTTGTCTGCCAAAAATGGTGATATCACCCTGAAACAGCGAGTGGAACGTTTGAGAAGAAAATGTTGGGCGCATTGTTGAAGATGAACTTAACCAGTTTATTGGTCAGTCTGAGATGCAGAGGTATGTATTGTGTAATACTAGTAGATATCACAGTCAAATTCTGAGTAATGTAGATGTTTTGAATACTAGTACTGTATCCTTAATAAATATTTACATTGCTCTAAATCAACCCCAAAAGGATAATAGTAACATGACACCCATAAAGAAATGGGAGGATAATGACTAGATTTTGGCACTTGTTTGATAATTATCTGCAGTAGGCCTATGCCTTGAGTGAACATTAGAACCTGGAAATTGAATTAAAGATAAGGAAAAAGGAACAAACAGATTAAAATAGTAGGTATAGGCCACAACCAGGAGGGAAGAGGGTTTCTGCTCATAATTATTGCTTTGTAAACCCTTTCATTTCTCTTAGGTAAAGGAAATTTCGACACCAACTGTTATGATTATTCAACAAGAAGAAACCACATTTAATGCTAAAAGGCAAATTCTGTCTCAAATCTTGCAGCCTGGATCAGGTGGCATTGCTTCCATCAGTACAGTCCACCAGTCGGCCAGTCCCAACCAGAGTTCCCAGCACACCTTCCCCCAAAAAGAGAATAAGCCCCCGAAAAAGACCCAGAACTCCATCTCCAAGAAAGCGCCCGGAGAAGAGCAGCTTGCAGACAGATCTCAATGTGTCCTACAAATTCAGAATTGCAGGACATGGAGTTGATCCTCCAGGAGTGGATGAAAATCAGGAAAATCCAGGCCAAGAACAGGTATGATGTTCTATTTGGAGTATATTGTGTGTGTTTTTTAAAGATCTCTGGGAGGAAATTAACTTCAGCATTGATGCAATTGTTATTTTTGCTTTATGAATAGCTTGTTGTGGTTTAGTTTATCTTTGTGAGTGCTTTTTAGAAGCAAGAGAGGTATGTGGGGGTGGGGGTTAGGAAATGGTAAATTTTAGCCCAATTACAGAGAGATTAATTCAACTAGTTCTTTTAGAATATCCTTAATTTTTGTTCATCTTTGTCATTGTTTAACTTTGTCTTATGGATTGCTCTTCAAATTGTTATTTAGGCCATGTTAACCCCTGCTGATAATAAATATTTCTCTTAGGTTGTTACTCGGCGCTCTCCACGTAAGAATACACTTGGTGATAAAGAAAACAAGGTAAGAAGAACATGTGAATGTGCACTAACTTGTTTTGTATATTACTTTTGTAATGTTTCTTGATATTAGAAATATAAAAGTAAAATTCATTTCCTGACGTTAGCTGATCTGTTGTCAATTTCCTTCTCTCTCTAGGTTGACAGTCCTCGTCGTTCACCAAGGAAAGCAGCTGATGGATTCCCTAAAAACATGGTAATATATTTGTGCTTATGTATAAGATGGTACTTATCAATTATATTTGTTACAAAGAAGGATTTTGACCAAATTAAAATATATAGATTTAGGCATATACTTGATTTCAACTACTCCCTTGTAGATTACATGTTAGTCTTTTAAAGAATTCTTTTCTTTTTACTGATAATTAGCTTTTCTTCTCTCTTCTTTCTTTCTGTCTTTTCTTTTTATGCATGTATTTTAGCTTTCTACACTTAATATAATCTTAATATAAACTAATCAATTCTTACATGACAGAATGGTTCACCAAGAAGATCTCCAAGGAAGCCAATTTCTGGCAGCATCCCACAGCAATCACCAAGCAGACCACTGAAAAGATCACCCAGTAAAAGCAGCCCACAGAAAGGGAAGTTCTTCTCAATATTTGATCCCAAGCGTCGGCTCTCAGACAAGGTCTCTGTAGCAGACAAAACTATGATCAAGTAAGAATTTTTCTTTTACTTTTTACTTATCGTAGGTATAATAAATTTGAAAGGACACTGTGTAGTGTACTTTTATTGTATTTCTGATATGTTGGTGGTGTTACTATTTGATTTTATTTGTGTTCAGCAGAACTGTTGGGAAGAAGGTCCCTCTGAGAAAAAGTGATGGATCCCAAATGATGATTGATGCAGGACAAAGGGAATTTGGGGCCAAACAGTGTAATGTCTGTGGCATTATTTATGAGATTGGCAATCCTGAAGATGAAGCTTCTCATGAGGCCCATCATAATAGCTTCCTCAACACACTCAAATATATTGTAAGTTGTACTTTTATTTACTAAATTTTTGTATCACTGTAAATGTGTGCTTTACTGTAAATGTATATATACTTAAATTTTTACCACTTCTACAATAAATTGATTTCCTTTACTGTTATCATAAATGTTACTATCTTTTTGTAATCATAATTTTGTAAGAAAGGAGGGCGTGGCAGTAGTGATTATTGATATTTTTATTATTATTAATGATTCCTATTTAAGTATTTGTTGCTACTAACTGTTTCTATTATAATTTCCAGGGTTGGAAGAAGGAAAGGCTAGTAAGGGACTTAGATCATCATGGAGGAAGGGTTATCATGGTTTACCTACAGACTCTCAGCATTGTTGGCGTAAAGTGGAGGAGATAAGAGAAATCGTTGACCAGAGTTGGGCTTCGCTGAAAATGGGATCCGCGTGAAAGAAAACACAAAGGTCTTCTTTTACGTTCTTGAGAAGAGGATTGTTGGCTGTCTTATTGCCGAGACCATAAGGGAAGCACACAAGGTGATCCCACAAAGATCACCTATAAGAGGGGGTGGCCAGTTAGTGTGCTGCTCTGAAAAACGGTACAAAGTATGGGCTGGAATTAGCAGGATTTGGGTCTTGGCTTCAGAGAGAGGGAAGGGTATTGCCTCAACGTTGGTTGATGCAATGAGAGGTAACTTTCTCACCAGCCACTTCCTGACTCTAGATGAATTTGCCTTTTCCGATCCCACTGAGAGTGGAATGGGATTTGCTGAGAAGTACACTCAGAGAAGAGATTTCCTTGTTTATCGTCGTTAGTAACAATAAGAGCATTTTTTTTAGTGTATTTGAAATGATAGATATATGCTTGTGTTATATTTATACCAGAAATATTTTGAGATAGATATTTTTATTTAAATCATACTGTACTGTTTTTTTCTCTCTCTCTCAGTACATTCTGCAGTGCAAGGAAGAAATGTTTGTCTATGCAGATACAAAATGTATTTTAAGTTTGTAGGGTAGCTGTAAAAATTATATTAATAAAATGCTAAGTAAGCATTTATCCAGCTCTCAGACTTGGCTAATATTTAAAAAATAACCCAGGATTTGAGTTTCAGGAACAATTTTATTAATTTTAAGGTGTAAAAATTGATTAAAAATACATCACCATATCTCTCATCCTTACCCTTTTGTATAGTGTAGTCCTGGTGTATGACCATGTATACATTAAAATTAAGTAATACTTTAGCGATAAATTGGTGTACATGAATTATTAGTGTTAAAAATAACTTGAGTGTTAAAACTTGATATCACTTTGTGAATGAGATCAGTTACTAAAACTGGGAATAATAGTAGTATTAACACTTGACCCTCTTGACCTTCTACATCAACTACCCCATATTCCTTTATTAATACCTTCCCCCCCAAATTCCTTGCCCGTTGTTGTTGTGGGGGGGCTTAGGAGGTGGAGACTGGGACCCAATGATGGGGAACTCCCCAACCTTGGGACTCAGCCCTTGACTCAATTAATTTTGCATGGTCCTTTTTCCCTTCCTACTTTTTCGTTTGTCCCTTCACCAAACCCTTCTACTATCCACCTCCTACCCCCCCAATCCCTTGCCCGTTGTTGTCGTGGGGGGCTTAGGAGGCGGAGACTGGGACCCAATGATGGGGAACTCCCCAACCTTGGGACTCAGCCCTCGACTCAACTAATTGTGCATGGTCTTTTTTTCCCTTCCCACTTTTGTTTCTGTTCCTTCACCAAACCCTTCTGCTATCCACCTCCTAAGGTGTGAGAGCCGTGCTGAAAGGATGAAAGGCTGACTTTGTGCCAGTCCTGAACGGCCTGAGGGAGCCATGGGCACGGTATTCCCCTGATTTTAGTTATCTAGCCCTTACCCCTCAAGGAGACCCTGAGGGGTGGACTGCTTTTATCCCCAACATAATCCAGGCTTCCCATGGCCAGTAATGAAAATATATCCCCACTGTTAGGGGCAATGAGGCTTGCCCCTTTATCAAATAGCCCCAACGAAGTAAACCCACCCGATTCCCCGACCCCAGGCTCTCCTTTGACCACGGCTCCAAACACTGCAATAACTACCCCTTCACCAATGCCTACTAGTACAGTAGCCAACAATCAACCCTCAAGGAACATTTCCACTCTCCCAGCATGCCCAACTTCAACACCTCTACCCCCACAACCTCCAACATCAACCACCCCATCCTCCCTTATTACCCCCACAACCTCCAACATCAACCACCCCATCCTCCCTTATTAATACCTTACAGCCTTATAGCCCACCTCTCCATAACACTACCTCCCTCAACACTACTCCATCTTCGTCACGCCCTCGCCCTTCTACCACCCTTATCTCTAAAACAATCTTGAATACTCTCTTCAGTGCAGCCAAATAGGACCGATTTTTCGTGATCCCTCCCACAGCTCCCTACTCTGACAACACCCTTCTCTTCCAACAATGCCTCCAAAAACAAGTAGGTAAAGTCTCTTTCCGTAGCCGACCCGACCGCTCCCGTCTTGTAACAGTAACATCCGAAAACCAAGCCATTGCATTAACAAAACTAACTGACCTATATGGTAACCCAATCCTAGCAGAACCCCATCCAACCCTCAATACTTGCACCGGGACAGTCTCAATCTCACCAACAAATTGCCCAATCTATGACAAAGATTGGTCAGATTGTGGAGAAGATCTACTTGCCTGTCTCACAGACTACGATGCAATATCAGTACAATGCTATTCCATCCCCCCCAGAGGTCATCGAAAGAAACCCACTAACATAGCCAAAATTACCTTCCGTAGACATGACCTTCCCTTTAACGTCTACATAGGAGGAGAATCCCTCCCTGTTCGTCCATACCAACCTCCTCCACGTCAGTGCCAAAATTGTTGGCGTCTAGGACACCCAGCCAAACACTGCCGTTCCACAGCCAGATGCCCATTATGTGCCCATCCTGGCCATACCCGATCTAACTGCTCTGCACAATCACGCACATGTGCCAACTGTGGCGGCCCCCATAATGTATTTTATAGGGACTGTCCCACCTACAAATTTGAATCAGAGGTAGCAACTCTCAGATTCAAACTCGGACTCACACTGCGTGAAGCCAGACAGGAAGCACGTCGACGTGGATTCTCTCTTACTCCTTACTCCAGTAATACTGCTCATTCTAACACTTCTCCTAAACCCACCCCTCCTACATCTAACCCCCCCCACTAACCCCACCTACCTTCCCCAGTCAAACTCTTTTGCCATCCTAAATCCAGAAACTCCAATCTCTACTACAGATACTCCAATCACCACTACAACCCCAACACCTTCCCCTCTCCCTCCTCGCACTCCCCGTAACAGACAGAAAACAAACGTTCCACCCCCTCTTCCCCTACCACACAATCACCCCCACCATCCTTTGCCCGTACTCTTGAGACACCAGTCCTCTCTTCCCCCCCTCACAAGAAATCCTTTATCCCCCAAAACTCCCCAACCAACTCCACAGAAGAAACTATTGAAAATATTCAAGATTACTTAATGAAAACCGACACTCAACCTACAACTCCTGCTCCTTCCACACTCCAAGTAATTGCTGATATCCATCCTCCTCCTAACGATATCCCCCCTACACCCTACCCTCCTACCCCCTCCCAACACAGCCCATCCCCCCTGACCCCAACCCTGCCCACATTAACTCTCCCACCATCCCCTCTATCCCTTCCACTCCCTCCTGGATACACACGTGAATCCCTTATGTCACAAGTATCCCCTTCCTCAGACCCTCCATCTCCTAATACCCCTCCTGATAGAACACCAACTCCCACACCTCTCCCATCTCAAACCTCTCAGTCCTTATCCCACCCTCTAGCTGCTTCCCCATCAAATTCTCCTGAAGCAGCCCGTACCTCTGCTTTCCCCCACCTATCCTCCCTTCACCGACCTCCCAACCTATCAGACATCCTTACAGAATGCCACACTTTCTGCATCAACAACCTGTTCTCTTTCCTCAAACGCATACATATCCTTTATCTAATCTAACACCCGACCTTAACCCTTTAACTCACCAATTCCTTTGCCCAGCCTAGACAACTAATCACTAACTCAACCACCTTTCACTAACATTAACTATAGTGCTACATGACCTTAGATGTCTAGCACATTTATCTTGCTTTTAACCATTAACCATTAACCATCAAATTCTCCAACACGTACTACAATCTATATCACTAAATCAACGAAAGTATAACTATCCTTCATTGGAATATTCGCGGTTTCCGCTCCCACAGACCTGACCATCATATCCTTTCCTCTTATAACCCATCTATTGTATGCCTTCAAGAAACCTTTCTTATGCATACCCTTTATCTAATATAACACCCGACCTTAACCCTTTCACTCACTAATTCCTTTGCCCAGCTTAGACAAATAATCACTAACTCAACCACCCTTCACTAACATTAACTATAGTGCTACATGACCTTAGATGTCTAGCACATTTATCTTGCTTTTAACCATTAACCATTAACCATCCCTCCTCACACTCCCCGTAACAGACAGAACAAACGTTCCACCCCCTCTTCCCCTACCACACAATCACCCCCACCATCCTTTGCCCGTACTCTTGAGACACCAGTCCTCTCTTCCCCCCCTCACAAGAAATCCTTTATCCCCCAAAACTCCCCAACCAACTCCACAGAAGAAACTATTGAAAATATTCAAGATTACTTAATGAAAACTGACACTCAACCTACAACTCCTGCTCCTTCCACACTCCAAGTAATTGCTGATATCCATCCTCCTCCTAACAATATCCCCCCTACACCCTACCCTCCTACCCCCTCCCAACACAGCCCATCCCCCCTGACCCCAACCCCGCCCACATTAACTCTCCCACCATCCCCTCTATCCCTTCCACTCCCTCCTGGATACACACGTGAATCCCTTATGTCACAAGTATCCCCTTCCTCAGACCCTCCATCTCCTAATACCCCTCCTGATAGAACACCAACTCCCACACCTCTCCCATCTCAAACCTCTCAGTCCTTATCCCACCCTCTAGCTGCTTCCCCTTCAAATTCTCCAACACGTACTACAATCTATATCACTAAATCAACGAAAGTATAACTATCCTTCATTGGAATATTCGCGGTTTCCGCTCCCACAGACCTGACCATCATATCCTTTCCTCTTATAACCCATCTATTGTATGCCTTCAAGAAACCTTTCTTACACATCCTCCAATACCAATCCCCAATTATCATTTTGTCTCTTCCCCACATTCCCTTTATGTCTCGTCCATACTTATCAATCAGAAAACACCTTATGTCACACCTCCCTTTCAAACCAATGTCCCTTGCACAGTTATTCGTATCTTCCTTCATCGTTGGGTCACAGTGATTTCAGTCTACTTCTCCCCTTCCCACCCCATTGACTTTGTTGCTTTCGAAAATCTAATTTCCCAACTTCAACCACCTTTCCTCATAGTGGGCGACTTTAACTGCCGCCACACTCTTTGGGGTGATTCTATTACCAACTCCCGAGGCCGATCTCTAGAGCGCTTCCTCTCCACAGCTGACCTTACTATTTTAAATTCAGATCGCCCCACACACTTTGATACACGCACACAATCTTTTTCATGCATTGACCTCTCTCTATGTTCCCCTTCTCTTCATATAGATTTCCACTGGTCAGTCTTAGACCACTTTCCAGTTCTCCTTTCTCCTACTTCATACGTACCACTTCCTAACTCCCCACGCTGGTGCTTTGATAGAGCCGACTGGCATACTTTCACTTCACTCTCTGCTATTCATACCCCTCCATCCTCCCTCACCTCCATTTCAGAAATGATACAGTGTTTCACAACTACAGTCTTAAGAGCTGCACATACAGCTATCCCTCGAACCTCAAGACCATATACCTCTAAATGTGTTCCATGGTGGAATTCTGTTTGCACTAAAGCACTTCGCTTAAAACGTGCAGCCTGGAACAGTTATCGCTACAAGAGAGGTACTCCAAATCAACTATCAGCCCTTATCTCCTTTAAAAGAGCATCTGCCTGTCTTCGTCGTACAATCCGGAATAGTAAAACATATAGCTGGCGAAATTATGTTTCATCAATTACATCCTCTACATCTATCTCAAAT